AAGAATCTCAGGCAAAGTAAAGGACAGACAGTTGCGGAATTCGCTCAGAAGTTCAAGGATATCGGAGATCGGACTGAAATGTCTGATATTGACTTGCGGGAACGTTTCTTCACTGCATTACTCCCAGAGATCCGACAACACCTCATCACCGTAAACATTGCCCAAGGAATTGCTCCGACTCTGAAGGAGGCAATCAAACGGGCCATATCGGTGGATGTCTACCTGCACGATCCCACCATGACTGGCCGGAACTCTGGATACCCTCCCACGCATACCGCTCATACTACCCCTGCTGATCCCCACGCTATGGACATTGATGCAACCCACACCAGTAATGGGAATACTAGGGAAGCATTCCTAGCTCGCATGCAAGGACGATGCTTCGGCTGCGGTGCCCAAGGTCATGTCAAGCAAAACTGCCCACACCGAGAAACCACCTGCCGCTACTGTGGACGTCGAGGACATCTGGAAGCAGTCTGCCAAGACAAATTCATGGGACTCGGACGAGACCGAGGCCGACGCCAGCAACCTCGACGCCAACAGATATCCGCTACGGGACCCGCGCCATTCTCCCTATTCCCAAACGAATCCGTCCAAATCGCGTCCTCGACCCCAACATCTGCTCCTGCACCCGTAGCTGTTACTCCGAGCCCCCCTAACCAGGACTTTTCCAATCAGATTGGTCAAATAAGGGAATTACTTGATCGTGCTAACGCTATGTCCTCCTCGTCCTCTGGCTTTCAACAGGGTTTTTAAAGAGGGTACCCGCTTCGGCTGCACCGAGAGTACCCCGTAATCAGTTTGTTATGTTCGCTACTTCCTCGTATGACTCGCACCCATCATGTACAATATCGTCGATCCGGGAATTAAACTCTATTTCCCCACATTTCCGAATTCATGCGAGACTAAGAGGAAGGAATCACAGTATAACAACTGCAGCCATGGTAGACTGTGGAGCTACCGCCCTGTTTTTAAACCAAGACTTTGTCACCCGGAACCATGTAAGATGTGCACCCCTCCATAAACCAATCGACGTTTTTAATATCGATGGAACACCTAACCGAGCTGGACGGATAACCCATTTTGCAGGTCTAGCACTCACAGTGGATAATCAAGAGCGATGGATGGACTTTCTGATCACCAACCTAGGAGGTGAAGACATCATCCTTGGACTCCCCTGGCTACGGAAGGTAAATCCGGAGATTGATTGGGAGAAAGGACGACTTTCAGTAAAGCCTCCTCGAGTAACGATAGAAGAAGTCCCAGACGAGGAGATCTTGTACTCTCATCTAGCCGCCACTCACACAGAAAGCCCGATCCTTGAACTCCCGAACCTGGAACCTCCCGCAGAAACCCCCCACATTGAGGTGCCACTGGAAGCAACCCTTGAAGAGAGCGAATCAGCAGCAGTGGAAGAACCACCAATACACCGAATTCGAGCCAATCATAAAACCCGCCGGGCATGGGTAAAAGCAGGAATTCTAGAGGAACAGACGGAGGAAGTCTGGTGCGCCGCAGGATTCACTTACTCCCAGCAGCTAGCAGAGGAAGCCAACCGAGACAAACCCGTTAAAACCTTCGAAGAAATGGTCCCTGAGCAGTATCGTGATTTCAAGAAAGTTTTCTCAGAATCCGCCTCCGAACGATTACCTGCCCACCAACCTTGGGACCATGCGATTGATCTCGTACCTGGAGCACCGGCAACCATGCGTACCAAGATTTATCCCATGTCCCTAAACGAGCAGGAGGAGTTGGATCGTTTCTTAGAAGAAAACCTACGGAAAGGCTATATCGTCCCCTCAAAATCACCAATCTCATCACCGGTCTTCTTCGTAAAGAAGAAGGATGGGAAACTCCGTTTTGTACAAGACTACCGGAAACTGAACGAGTACACTGTGAAGAACCGATACCCTCTCCCATTAGTTGCTGACATCATTAGCCGACTTCAGGGAGCCAGATACTTCACGAAGTTTGATGTCCGCTGGGGTTACAATAACATACGGATTAAGAAGGGGCATGAATGGAAAGGCGCGTTCGCAACAACCCGAGGCTTGTTCGAGCCTAAGGTCATGTTCTTTGGTCTCACAAATTCCCCTGCCACGTTCCAAGCACTTATGAATGCTATATTTGCTGATCTCATTGCAGCCGGCAAGGTGGCAGTCTACCTAGATGACATCCTTATCTTCAGTAACGATCTCGAGGAACACCGACGAATAGTACGGGAAGTATTAACCCGGTTAGAAAAGCACGACCTCTACCTACGACCCGAAAAATGCGAATTTGAACAACAGATTGAATACCTCGGACTCATCATCTCAGAAGGGGAGGTGAGAATGGATCCGGTAAAAGTAGCGGCTGTTCGTGACTGGCCAGTCCCTACTAACCTTCGGGAACTACGAGGGTTCTTGGGATTTGCAAACTTCTACCGACGCTTTATCCGGAATTTTGCCAAAATAGCACGACCTCTGAACGACCTGACGAAGAAAGACACCAGCTTTACCTGGACCGACACTCGACAGAAAGCATTTGATACCCTTCGAGAAGCCTTCATCTCCGCACCAATCCTTGCTCTATGGACACCAGACAGGCCTACTCGAATCGAGGTAGACGCATCAGGCTTTGCCACGGGAGGCGCCCTTATGCAGAAGCAAGACGACGGCCAATGGCATCCGGTAGCCTTCAGATCGGCATCCATGCAGCCAGCGGAACGGAACTACGAAATCTACGATCGAGAAATGCTTGCTATCATTGAAGCACTGAAGGATTGGAGGAACTTTCTAGAAGGACTCCCTCAACCATTCGACATCATTACGGACCATTCGAACCTCGAATTCTGGCGCACTGCACAAGACCTCACCCGCCGACAAGCCCGATGGGCCCTCTATCTGTCACGGTTTGACTTTCATATGATCCACCGCCCTGGCAGAGTAAACACCCAAGCTGATGCTCTCTCCCGCATGGCAGTTCATCATGTATCGGACAGCGATGATAACCGACAACAGACAGTCCTTAAACCCGGCCACTTCATAAAAATTGCAGCTTCGATCCTACAGAACCCCTTAGAGGATCATATCCGGAAAGCCTCAGAACGGGAGGCACAGGTATTGGAGGGTCTCAAAACAGTCAAAGAACACGGACTACAGCGCTTGGCCAATGGGATAGCCGAATGGGAAGAAGACAATGGGTTGGTCTACTACCGAGGTCGAGTATACGTACCAGCAAACGACGACCTACGCACTGAGGTACTCCGCCAATGCCACGACCATCCAACTGCAGGACACCCCGGACTACACGGGACACTCGACTTGGTCAGTACCCATTTCTGGTGGCCTACGTTGCGCTCTTTTGTGGAAAAATACGTTGAGGGATGCGAGGTTTGTGCCCGTAAGAAGATCCAGCGACACCCACGGGCCGTAGCTCAACCATTAGATGTACCATCCGGTCTATGGGAAGAGGTAGGGGTTGACCTGATAACACAGCTACCTAACTCCCAAGGCTACGATGCTGTCTTGGTTTGCACAGACCTGTATGGAAAACAAATTCACGCTATTCCTTGCACCAGCTCCATCACAGCCGAAGGCGTTGCCGATATCTACTACCGAGAGATCTTCCGTCTCCATGGTCTTCCTCTTCACTTTAAATCCGACCGCGGACCTCAGTTTGCAGCTAAACTCATGTGATCCCTTCTCGCTAGGCTAGGAATTAAATCGGATCTAACCTCCGGATACCGTCCTCAGTCTAATGGCCAAACCGAACGAGCAAATCAGGAAGTAGAGAAATACATCCGCCTCTATGTAGGACGACGACAAGATGACTGGGCAGAGCACCTTCCCATGGCGGAGTTTGTGATTAACTCACGGACTCATTCTGTGCTAGGCATGTCCCCGTTCGAGTTAACCTATGGCTATCTTCCCCTGTTCAATATCCCAGTGGGCCAACGCAGCGGTATTCCAGCTGTGGATGACCGTATACGGATTCTCCGAGAAGCGCGACAAGATGCCGGAGCTGCCTTACACCTAGGAAAGAAACAACAGAAGGAGGGATACGAACGCGGGAAGCGGAAAGCTCATCAATTTAAAGTTGGAGACCTAGTCTGGCTCAGTGCAGAGGACATTAACCTTCAGCTTTCCAGTGAAAAGTTAGGAGATCGACAGCTTGGCCCTTATCGCATTCTGGAAAAAATTGGCCCTTTAGACTACCGCCTTGACCTTCCCCTATCCCTAGATCGCCTCCATCCCGTCTTCCATGTTGATAAACTATACCCCTGGAAAGGTAACTCCATTAATGGCGAAATACCAACACCACCAGAGCCGGTATACTTAGAGGATGAAGACGAACCGGAATACGAAGTAGAGGAGATCTTAGACAGCCGGGTTCGATGGAAGAAGTTGGAATATTTGGTTAAGTGGAAAGGTTACGACGCAGGGCACAACTCTTGGGAACCCGCAGCCAACCTCAGTCGAGCACCAAAAATTGTTCGGGCCTTTCATAAAAAACACCCAACAGCGGCAAAACCTTGACCATCGAGGGCAATGGTCATAAGGAAGGGGGTAATGTCATAAAGTACGCAGCCCCTATCATTTTCCTTTTCTCACTGTCTCGACGCCTTTACTTGTACGACACATCATCCCATCACTGTCAAACCCCCATCGATTACTGATCCATCGATTACTGATCCACCTGACCCATCTTCTCCTTCTATTGGCTTCCGCCACCTTCCTTGTTCCTAAACTGTACAGTATTACATCGTTGTTTCTCGCAGACCGGATTATGTATATATAGCCAACCCTCCACAGCCTGGTCCCTTATCTTGACCTCTCTGTCATTATCTGGGACCAGGTATGTGCTTACTTATTATTACCTATGACTACGATACTCAATATATCTCTGTCATTATCTGGGACCAGCCTGCCGCCGTTCTGCTTAGTCGCTCCGCCTTGTTGCCTTGTCCAGTTGCTCCGCCTCACCGTTCTGCTTAGTCGCTCCGCTTTCCCGCTCCGTTAGTCACACCGCCTCTGCCGCTTCGTGACAGTTGCAGCAATGCCTTCAATGAGAATAAGGAAGTGATACTCGTAATGAGCAATTGTTGCACCATTCGCATATGTAAAGAGGACGGGAACCCATTTTTCGATGAGAGGGGAGTAGATGGAGGTAACGATGAGGCGCCCATTTGGATCTTCCCAATACTTGTGAGCAGCATCAGAGAGCAACCCATGAAGTGGATCACCAACATCAGACATATCAGGTAAGGTCTGCTGCTGCATCCACTCAGTTTGAAGAGAAATACAGACTATATCGGAGCTGACATAATCTTTGCAAGGAACTGTCGAATGCTTGCCCTTCCACTTCTGCAGATTCTGCAGGTTTCCAAATGCACTAGTAGGGCCATTTCCATCCTTTTTCTTCTCTTGATTCAGCCGATAGCTAGTGTATGCCCTTTGTGAGAACTTCTGCCCAAGATCAGCAGCACTAGGTCCAAAGCCTTGTGGAGCAGGGGCACCAACCATAAGCTGAGTGGAGGTCGCATTAGGTCTATTTTCGTATACTGTGCGGAAACGCTGATCCTCTGCTGCTGTAGTGCGCACAACACCTGGAAGCCGGCTATGGGTATGAGCAGTACCATTGATGTATCTGTACTGTGTTGTCGAAATGTCACCATCCTGCTGACCCCAGGTGATAAGGTACGACCGTGAAGAACAGTGGTCATGCTTCAATTGACCACCACAGTAACACCTAGCTGAAAGCTGTTTCTGGAGTCCAGCAGACTCAACCTGAGGCCGTCCAATAAATTGACAACCCTCAACTGTGCATATCAAAACACCAAGGCATTTTTTGTTCAATATCTTCCCACCCGCAATAGTTGAAGATCCAACAGAGGAGTTTCGGCTCCGAGTAGTGTTACTTTTAGTAGCCCATTGAACTGCCAGCCGCTTAGTAGCCATATACTCAGTGTGAGTAAGATCCAATCGAAATCGACCATTCGGCCAAGGATCCCATTCACCACCTTGTAGATTACCAAGTAAGGTTGCAATAACACCTTGATCAAGTTCGCAAACTGAGAGTGGCTGGGGATCGAGAGGAATGAAGGTTGTAAGTGCAGCAGGGTTTGAAAGGTCAATCAAAGGAATACTAGTCCAATTTTTGGAATTAGGGTGGAGAGAATCAGAAGCAGGCTGGGAGGGATGTATATTTGGTTGGGATTTCACTAAATTTCCGGTGGGTTGAGTCTGAGATATGAGACGATTAACTTGTTGGAATCCAATTTGAATTCCTGTACATTAAATTAGGAACTAGACTTGGAACAGATATAGCATTCAAGACTTACCATTTTCATCAAACACTGGCAAAGTGTGCATTTCAGTGGTAGGCCCCATAATGCTCACTGTCTTTTTGGGTTTCATTGATTCTTCATCATCAGAACCAGAATAAATTGTTTGTGCAATGAATTTTCGGAGCTTGGTCTAATAGAATATCTCGACTTAGACATTTTTCTGACCATTTGTGATACTATAAATTCAACTTACAAACCAACTCATTGTGTTACAATATTCAACTTGCAGGGAATTGGATGGGGAAAGGGTACCGAAGATTTCTCGAGTTCTCTCTTATACTTCGTTCATAACCCATCAATTTCTCGGGTATTTTCAGGGTTGTTTCAACTTGAGAAAAATTTAATATAGATCTTTCGAAGTAAATTCACTGAAAGGTATGAATGTAAAGTAAGGTTGTTTCATTGTACACAATGTCTGAAATGATTCAGTCAAAATGTTATAAATTTAACCCGAACGCAGTTACATTGAACGTGAACGCAGGTACATTGAACGCGAACGCACTTATTTGAACGCAATGAACTCGAACGCAAATCCATCGGAACACAGAACGCACCGGCGGAACGCGAAATTATACCGTCCGTACCCAAAGTACGCTATCTCGGACAGGGATTGAGCCTTCTGAGGCCTAAAGTACGCTAATTTCGGCCAAGGAAAATGGCAAAATTGGGTCCTAAAGTACGCTAATTCGGATGGGGTCTGGTAGGAGCTTCCGGGGTCCTGTTCTCGCCCATTACATAACTGTAAGTGGGGCACGGCATGCTTGGACTGAAGTCAAAGAGAACTGGGACGAGTTCTTGAAGACGGACGCTGGTAAACAACTAGAAGCTCAGGCTAAGGAATCACAGGTGCAAAACATCGACTTCAAGCAGTTTGTACATGCATGCTTGGTAATTGGCAGAACAGCCGAAAACTTTGCGGGGTATTCGATCAATGTATGAACTGTAGGAAGAACGAGAATGAGCGAGAATGACAGTTATCCAAAAACATATCGATTATCATTATTCTGACTCAGATTGCGCGAGGTTCTTTGCGAGACTAACAGCTGCAGCGCTGAGCGCTGAGATTTGGTGCAGAGGAATATGGAAGATGTAGGTCATGGTCCATTACACCCTTTCCTTCCGCTCATCATTCGAAAGTGAGACTAGGATGCCCTTACCCCTCTAACATCCATGAAACATTATATAAATGCTGATACTAATAAGTTATACGTCGGATGAATGCAGAGAAGGAAAAAGAAACCAAGGAGCAATTTTGTTCGAATACTTCGGTCAATGATTCTATGTATGCAACAACGGTGGCATAGTGATCTGGTTGCATGTGCTTTCCATTCAACAGAGCGACAAGTAATGCTCATCTACATGTACTTGGGAGAATTATAAATTCCCGATATAGTACACTGCGAAAGATTCAAAGTACTGAAACATGAAAACATGAACCTGAATAATGCATGAAAGAACAGACGACGCGTAAAGGAAGACTCACTGTAAACTCACTATCAGTAAAACCATACCAAAGCTTGGAGATACGACACGGTACGGGATCCGTTGGAAATCTCATTCGAATGATATTTCCACAAATGGATCGCCGATTTCTACAATGAACGTTCAAATCAGATAATAGATCCGAGACGGTTGTGCGCGCTTTACACCGACCTTTCCTCAGAAATTCAACGGCTCCCATATCTAATAGCTCATCCTTTTCTCTCTTCTCCTTCTGCATTTCATAGTTCGCACCTCTTCCTCCCTGTCTTTCCCGGTCTCGTTCCCTTTCACCTTCTCCGCCAGCTCCTTTGGCGTGATGATGCGGGTTGTCCCTTCTGCGAGACTTAGAATCTCTGGGGTCCCTGCTAGACACTGATCCAGGGTTTAGACGGCGTTTGGACGACAAAGATGTTGCCGATGAAGGAACAGTGTTACCAAAGGAACCGGTAGAGTTGATAACAAGGCCGGATGGGAACGAGGAAGATGGTGGTAGGCTCATTTCTTCAACATCGGACCCTGACGACGGCGTCGAGAGCGTTGGTGAGCCTGGTTCGATTGGCGAGTTCATTGTAAGTACTTGCTGCTCAGGTATTAGCGCTCGGGCGTTTCAATAACTTCGACCGTTGTTGATGATTGTTTGTTCGAAACCCAAATTTGTGAGGCGATTTGACCTGTCGAGTTTGTTCAGCTTTCCTTCCACTGCTCACGTCCTTCACTTTTAAGTCGCCCCGTCACTTTCAATTAAACAATGGCTGAAGAGGAAATTATTGCGAACTCTTACGTTGGTTTCGATACCATCACGCAGCAAATTGAGCACAAGTTGCTGAAGAGGGGATTCCAATTTAATGTCATTGTCGTTGGTGCGTTTTCATGCTCGAATCCCTTTACCGAAAGGTCTATAATGAATCGTCACTTTGCTCACAACTTCTTGCTTTACAGGACAAACGGGACTGGGCAAGTCGACGCTCATCAACACTATCTTTGCCTCGCACTTGATGGATTCAAAGGGTCGTTTTGCTGCCGACGAGCCTGTTCGTCAGACTACAGAAATACAAACTGTCTCTCATGGTACGTTTTGTATGGAACATTCTGTACTTTACCAGCGAAGCTTTCGAATTTGAACGTATCAACGACGCGCTCTGCTGACGTTGCAAGGACGCACGGTGTACGCCTCTCGTTATGCGGATATGCTTCTACTCCCACTTACGTCTTCGTCTCAATTTGGGCCAAGTTTAAACACCCCTCTTTTGGCTTACAGTTATTGTTGAAAATGGCGTCAAGCTGAGGTTGAACATCGTTGATACTCCTGGGTACGGTGACCAGGTCAACAATGAGGGATGGTTCGTTTGCGTCTGTTTCCTCCTAAGTTCGGCCAATTCAATCTGATTCTGTTTTCAAAGCTGGGACCCAATCATCAAATACATTAAAGACCAACACAGCGCCTACCTTCGTAAAGAGCTTACCGCGCAACGGGACCGTTACATTCAGGACACCCGTATTCACTGCTGTATATACTTCATCAACCCAACCGGTCACTCACTCAGACCTATCGACGTAATTGTGATGAAAAAATTGAGTGAAGTCGTCAACGTCGTGCCGGTTATTGCCAAGTCGGATACGTTGACGGTCGATGAGAGGTTGGCGTTCAAGGATAAGGTGGGTGCTTCGTATTCGAACTGGTTTTGGGTCACGGTGAGAGCTGATCATTCGTCTGTGCAACATGTTCGTAGATTCGGGAAGAACTTGTGTACCACAATATACGTCTCTACCCCTTTGATACTGACGAAGACGATGAGGAAGAAGTTAGTCTCAACGAGACCATCCGCGTGCGTATCATCTTCAAACTCCTCCGGATCACCTTGTTACAGTCATTATTAATTCCCTCCCTCTATGTGTAGTCGATCATCCCCTTCGCCATCGTCGGTTCTGAAAACAACGTCATCATCAACGGTGCACCCGTCAGGGGGAGGAAAAACCGTTGGGGTGTGGTCAACGTTGAGGATCCGGGTCATTGCGAATTTGTAAATTTGAGGAACTTCCTGACCAGGTTGGTGTTGCTTTTCATTTCGTTTCCTCGATTGGTTTTTTGGAGACTTCAAGCGCTGACTTTCCTACCTCCCTTGTTCCCAGAACACATCTTCAGGACCTCATTGAAACAACAGCCCAAATTCATTACGAAGCTTTCCGTTCCAAGCAGCTGCTTGCGCTCAAGGAGGGTGTCAACCAGCGTCCAACAACCGGGCAGTAAAGGAAGAGATTGTCTCTCATTCTCGCTATCTTCACATTCGGTGTGCCCTGTATGTATTACATCCCCCTCCACTCAACTTGCCAAATGAGGTAACACTGACTTGGGACTTTGAAAACTTTGAAAGGCTCAAAAAATGATACCCTCACGACACGGTGACAGTCCGCGTCGTTTTTCTTGCGAATGGATGGTGGGAGATGGATTATGGAGGGAGGTTCCGTGGAGCAGCATCTGGACATCTGAACAATATTTCATTCTAGTCACTCTCTTCATCGGTCTTTCTGTTTTTCGCCGTCTCTATTGGATGTCCCCAGTCCTTTCCTCCAGCCCCAGTTCCTGTCTTGTCTTGTTTCTTATACCGATGGATACTTGTAGCTAGTTCTGTACGTGCAATCGTACTTTTAGTATTCTTCCACTGTTGAAGTGGCATCTGTTTGCGTTCATTCTGATGAAGTTATCCTTTGATGCTTTCAATGCGCGCGTGTGGTGTGAAAAGTAAATATGCGATGGAGGCATATATATGATGAAGTATATGAAGGTAATGTCGACATATCTTAAGGGGAAAGCGCACTAGTACATACCGTATGAATGAAAAAGAAATTGCAGATGAGCTGCCGACAGAATTGAGTCCGTACTCTATATACATAGTGCTAGCTAATCACAGCATGTCCATCCACCGGACCAGGAGAATATCCAGGAGGGGGTTCATCACTAAGACCCTGTGCCCACGCAGAATTCTGCTGGTCCTGCAAATACGCGATATGCTCAGACATGGCTTGTATCTGCGCTTTTAACTGCGAAACATCTTCCTTCCCATCCGCCGACCTCGGAGACCTCATAGACCTACTCCTCGCCACGCTCGACAAAGATCGACCCGGAGCGGAAATTGAACTCGACATTGTTGGATCACGACCATCATTCCGCTCCGCAGCTTCGATTTGCAAATCTTTGATTTCGTCAGTGATCTGCTGCATCTGCCGTTCGAGGTCCTGTTGTCGTTGGCGGCGAATAGCAGATTTGGAGTCGAGAGGTAAAGGCGGGGGAATTGTGGAAGAAGTGCGTGGTACGCCTTCAGATATTCCAGTGGTCGTTCTCTGCAGCAGCGCAGTGGATGTGCGGAATGTGGATGAAGGTCTAGAGGAGTCATTTGGGTGAGTAGAATCTACTGCGAGGGGTAAGATGAATGGATCAATCTCTCGTTGGAGAACTGTGTTGGGATCATCGTTATGATAATCGTTATCTTCGCTCTTTGTTCGCCGCTGACAGAAGAACCACACGACTGCGACAATGGCTAGAGCAGCAACTCCTCCAATGACTCCCCCTGCGATGGCACCAGCAGATACGGTTTTGGAATCTGACTGCGAGGATGAATAGTCTGTAGTACTTGATGCGGAAGAGGATGACGACGATGAAGACGACGACACCGACGACGTTGTGGTATCCGGTCTCTGGAACCTGCAGGTGCATGTTGGTTGTTGTCGGCGGACAGAAGATACCACTCACGTATACAGCGCATAGTCAAAATTGAGCCAATAATTACTGCTGAGACCGGAGGTACTGATGACCATCTGATGACTGCTGTTTTTCATTCCAGTTTCGGAAAACGCCAAAGCACTTTCGTTGAAGTAGAAACTGGGAGCAGACGAGCTAGAATTGGGCGAATGGCTGAACGTGCTGACTAAAGTTCCATCCAGTGTGAAATTGGCAAGAGTGGAAGTACTAATTCCTGGATTGGGGTCATTTGAGAGGATGAAGAATATATATATAGCAGTGCCTGTTAACATTCGATTATACTCTGCGTGAGCTCGACGTGACGTCGCTTTGGGGACATACCAATGAAATCGAACGAGATGGAGATGTTTTTCAACTCGGGGTTATAGGTCGCGGCAGTGTAGGTGCCATCGAAAGCACTCGATATGTCAGGTACGAGGGCACAACCTGAAGATATATAACATTCCATCAACCCTCTGGTATTAAAAGAAGAAAAAAATCCGCACCCGAGCACGTATTGTCTTCCCAAACACCAGTAGTATCAGGAAGGTACGTTGGCCTAACTCCAGTCACGGAATCACCTAGTGTATCGTCGATAGAGCGATTAACTGCAGTCGAGGACACAAGGGATAATTCACATAGAAATATACAGATAAAGAGGAAGATGGGTGGGAGAGGACGTCGTCCGGTCATAACATTGAGCATAAGATTGAACCAAACGGTTGAGGATGTACTTGGATAGGATAGGATATTGGTATAAATTCTAGAAACCGCGGGCCTTCAAGTTCACAGCCTCCGCCAGGTCTCCGCGACCAGGCTCCAAATTGGACCAATCGAGTCCAACCAACGGGTGACCTCGGGTGGTGACCCGAGGATTCAATTCACTCCAAATCATCACGAATTATCGTGGCTAATTCCCCTCGTCCCTCGAAAGACTAGGAGCTATTAGGAGCCAAGAGAGCCTGGAATTTGAAATTAAAAACCGAAAGTAGTACGCTCTAGTACGCTGTTACAGCTTGCAAGCAGCAGTAACTTGTGGAGTTTCGATAACTGATGTAAGTCGAATCACTTCTAAGGGTATAATATCGCGATAAAAACTTCTGCCTCTGAAACAGCAAGAGTCCAGTCAGGATAAGATAAAATTAGAGAGTGTAGAGTACTCAAGTGAGAAGAAGATTTCTCGTATGGTGAGCGCGCGCTTATATCACGTTGCTTGCAAGGTCTATTCCACTCGGTATTTGACCTCTTGATGTGCAGGCACATTTTTGCTATGTTTGGTTTCAGCCAAACCACTTCAAACACTATCCTATCCAGATCCTAGATGCGCGCCGCATTTTTGATCTCAAGCAAGGTGTGCAGTCCACAACAGTGGGGCCTATTTATAAATAAATCAGAACTGAATGTTCTCTGAAATTCAACTCGCGCCAGCTCCATCACGTCTGTCCCCATAATCATTTTCTGCACCTCCGCATCCATATACTTGTCCGGACTTGGCCCTCCTTTGGTCTTCAGTGCCGCGAATTGTTTATCTCTTTCCTCTCTTGCTGCTCCTTCTCCCAAGTGCAGGGTCCTGCAGGACGCTGCCGCTAAATCTACCAGCGTCTCTGCACGTTCTTTTCGCACACGCTCGTACATTCTCAATGCCTTGTTAATCGAGTCCGAATTTGCTTCCGGTAACATAGACAAGATAACTGCCAGAACCCCTGCGTCCTCAACAGCCTGTGCAGCCCCTTGAGCTGATTAAAGAAATTTCAGCGAATGTATCTAGGAACCACGAAGGAACTTGCCAAGATGAGGAAGTGTAGGATGACAGGCATCTCCAACAAGCGCAACGCTCCCTCTGACCCACGTCGGCAATGGGCTATGGACCCTGAGCTTCCATTCGCAGACATCTCCTTCCGGAACGAGGTTTAGCATGCGTTGTATCAGGGGACAGAAGTCCTTGAAGCTGTCAAGCATATCAACTTTCGAGCCGCGCGTCGTGTACGTTGCAGAGGGGGCTGATGCGAAATGGGTATCCGGCTGCGCGGTCGAGATGTTGTAGATGTTCTTGTTACTGATTGGGTATGCAATTATGTGTCTTCGTTCACCAATCCACCGTGTTACCTGGTCGGCTTCTAGGAGCTCGAGTATCTCTGAATCTGATTTCATCTGATCTCTCGTGAGCATGATACGGTATGCAGACTGACCGGAGTCGGTCACTTCTACATCGACGCCAAGCTCTTTCAATATTTGTGGACGTACTGAAGACTTGATGCCATCGGCCGCCAGCACGACGTCTGCAAAAACATCGTACGATTCGCCGTTCCTAGGAGTAACAACTAATTTGGGCTTTGGTTGCCAGGTTTTGATGCTACAGGATGAATCGAAGTGGAAGGTGATGGCTTTCTCTTCCTTGCAGGCATTGTACAATTCTCCTGCTAACGAAGATCTGTGGCTGACCATATGAGGTGTCCCGTATTCTTCTCTGACATGTGCAAATTCAACACGACCTAACTCCTTGTTATCGTTGTGCTCTGGGTCCATTTGTGAAGGTTAACTAACAGTCATCGTCATGAAATAGATTCATCAAGCTTACGCCGAATACTTGCAACCTTGACCTCTGTAGCCTCCTTCGTTACCGGCTCCCAGCATCCCAATCGTTTGAGTATTCTTCCCATGTTCGGTGCAAGCTGAATCCCTGCTCCCACGAAACCTAGATCCGACGTTGCCTCATAGACATCAATACGCTGTATCCCGTACTTGGCCAATGCTAATGCGCAGGAAAGTCCTCCTATGCCTGCTCCAATGATTGCTACGTGAAGGCCTTGTTGCTCATTCATCTTCGTTTACACGGTGCGTTCGGATAAAAAGTGAAGGAACAGGTAGAAAGTTGAGTTGCATTAGAGCGGCCAGCTTGGCCTCTACACCATGGCTCAGAATAAATCGCTTCCCGTACAAAGTAGAGCGGTCTCGTGAAAATTAGATCTTCGTGAGGACGAATAGTAGCTGACAGTTTACAGTCGATTTCGGTCTGAAACTGCTGTGGGATCCCGGAATCCCAGTACAGTATTCAAAATAGAACAAAAGACCTGCTGCTACGGAATTTTTTTATAGCCTGAGCAAAAAAAATCGACTTCCCATCTCTTCTTTCAAAAACAAAGACTACCAACGTGCGACGACGGGAAACCAATACCGTCCAAAAACAAAACAAGGACTTTCATAAAAAGCGGTCAAAGAGTCAATTACCATCATCACTGTGATTTTGAACGTACTGTATGTTACTGCATTCATGTACAATGTACAATGTAAATAGATATCTATAAAGGTATTTAGAACTTGATATTGTCCAATTGTCCCTCGAAATAGCTACAAGAAGACTACGACTACCCATTTCCTGTCCAACGGATAGAGGAGACAGCAAACAAAATCCGACAGCAGGGAAAGAAAGAGAAGAAATAAGGTCGAAGGTCCGTACCGTACATACAGATTCCACATAGTACTTTTCTGATTTTCGATGCATTTCAGCGCATGATCCTAGCAGCTAGCAGCTTATCTTTCGAGTGCACGGATATCCTGGTCCCAAACAAGCTGGTCATTATCAAAATCGGAGGCAATAGCCCTTTGAAACAGAATCCACCACAACTCGTCCTTTGTGTACTCGTTTGCCACGCTCATGCCGAGTTCAGCAGATGGATAGGCAGGTGAATACGTATGAAAAGGCGTATTCGTTGCCGATGTGTGCCCCTGCCAAACTTGCTCCTCGTCGTGGGCCGCGTAACATGTACCCGAAGCGAATACCGAGTCGAGTGCGGTCGAAGAAACATTGTGAAACGAGATATCCCGGGTGTTGTTGACTGCTGAGCTCGCGGAGCCAGTGTACGAGTGAGATTCTGTGCTGGGAAGAGCAAGGAAAGCAGCTGAATCTTGTAATCGATCAAGATACCCGTCGTTCTCCATATCCGACACCGGTAAGGCGTCGAAATTTGCTCTAAGCGGAGAAGGCGTCACTGGTTTAAAGCTATCGCACCACTGGTACGATCCGCAAGATTCACTATCACTGGCCCAATCAAACGGCGTGTCGCTCGATGACGGGCTGGGAAGACTTTCGAACGAGTCCGACAAAGAAGAAGCAGGCGATGCCAGAACTTGGTCACGGCGGCGGGATCGTCTTCGAACAGACTGGTTGCGAGCTTGGAAGTAGTCTGGAGTCAAATCACGGCGGGGACGTTTATTTCGTTCGCCACGACTGTTGTTCCAGGACTTCTTGAGGTAATCAGAGGCTTCTTTCAACCTCAACCTTTCCTCAGGCGTAAGCGATTTAACTGCGTGGGTGTGCTGCTCTTCGGTTGGTGACCTCCCCGTTTGTTCCAGGTGTGCCTTCGTAAACATGCTGCGGAATAAAAACAGGTAGTTGGGTGGTTTTGACGGCATGGATGCGCCTGTGAGTTTGCGTTTTTGATCATTGGCTTCTTTTTGAGCTGTGGCATAGAAAAGGACGTTTTCATAACTGGAGAGGATTTCATGGCGAAATTGTTCAAAAAATTGAATCATGCACTGGGGGCAACCTACCAGCAAAGTCAGCAAAATTAATTCGGTGATTACAGAAAAGAAGTCGCTTACTGACGATTTTGATTTCTAGTCCCAAGAGCGATGGAGCTCGGGGGGCGAACCACACGAAAATCTAAAATAAATCAAAAACCCCCGTGAGTTGGGTCACTTTAAGTATCTTCGTGGCATTTGCGTAATGGGGCTACTTGGAGCAACGGGGACGAAGTGCGGTAAGGACAGTGCATAACCAGGTGTTCGAAGGAGCGGAGCGAACATAATAAATTCGAGGTGGATCCATAATTGCAATGCCTCACTCCCTTGTATTTTGACAGTGATGGATGAGCGCCGGTTAGCGGGATTTAATAGTGGCTTCTGGAGTTGCTCTGAGAGCTCGAAGATAGCGAGATTTGGTTGAATTTCCTAAATATTATGTGTTTACTACAAAAAGCTGGGTTAGATATTCCAAATATTGCAAGAAAACCTGGAGTTGTCCATTCTATATTCTTGAAAAAGCATCTGCACAGTGCACTGGTCAAAGAGTGAAACGTATGGATACGTCAAAAGGTGTATGTAGGCTTTGCGAAAAATTCACCGAAACCGAAAATTCTTCCTCCGAAGCTTCAATAGGATTTTGGAGAACAAGGGATTGAATGGGGCTTGTCCCGTAGTTACTATACCAATTGCAAATTGGCCACTGGTTTAAAATGAGGACTGACTGAGGATAGCTCGAGGTTTGGTAAGATTGCAACGAGGAAGCACTGCATTAAAGGACATCTGTTATCTCGGAGAGGAAGGTGTGACTGCTCGTGAGTCATGAGTTAATAACTTGATAACTTACGTTGAATGTACGAAGTGTTTTAGTGCACACACCTGCACACACCTCTCCTCAAAACCTCATGCTACGATTTGATATGAACGTCAGCCACCACCTCTTGGTGTCGTGTAATTCCTTTTTTCGTGTTGTCTGACAGGCATTACAATTTACAGGTATTGCACATTACAGCTGCTTAGGATGTGATTTGTCAAACCCATCGAAGGGGAAGCGGGGAAAGGCGGGGAAGCGGGTCCGGGCCGGGAGGTGCCGATTCAATTTGAATTGAATTTGATTGGGATTAATCATGTTCGCTCATGTTCGATCGTTGAACCTCCCATACAGTATTCAGCAGTCACCGGCTCGGATATGCATACTGATACACCAATAACATTACGAGATCGACATCCAAGGAATCTTTTCTGAGTATTCAATCTCTCATGCAAGTTGCTTCGAGCTCTGGCTGTTTAAAGTACAAATCCTGCCAAAGCAGGGAGCCTATCCCAGAGACCTGTCTGCTCCTATCTGAGAACAAAGGGAGGTTCGGAACAGGAAGAAACTGTATAGAATCCGGACAAAGTGTTAATTAAGATCTATATGTATACTACTACATCCGTTTACAATGTAGTAACTTTATGGGCCCGGGCAAAGTTATCATGAGTATATCAAGTAACGAATCGTTTCCCAATACACCCAAAGAACCCCAAAACCTCCACCAAGACCGCCTATCTATGATTTCTTAGAATCTAGTAGTCTTCTACAAAGGCGAAATATCGGTGCAATGGGAGACCACAAAAGAAGAAACGAAAGCGAAAGTCCGTGAGCGAATGCACTTCCAATGCTTCACTAATTTCTGACACCACTCTTGCATATACCGCGGCAATTTATAGGATTCGACCGACTTGACAGCTTCCAAGTACAGAACATCCCGATCCCAACGACGCGGACATTATCACTACAGTCCGGATCTTCTAAGACAATTAGACCAGTCTAGGGTCTTGAAAAATAGAACTCAGGTAGTCGTTCAATGCCCCGTCCATCGATGAATGAATAGTCTGCTTGCGTTGGGGAATAGCTGTCAATCATATGCATCCGGCTCGGTAAAGGTTTCAAGCATCTCCTGGGCTTGTTTCTCATCATGGGCGGAGAAGTACGCGGCTGAAGTGGAAGGGGTATCGTTCCTCAAGAGATTCCCAGCACTGTATACCACTGCTGCCGAGTTCTCGACATCCAACGAGTGATATTCAGTGCCGAGCGCAGCAGTTGAATGGCGCAGTGAGTGGTGATAGAGCCCGTAATTACCCATATTTGACACCAGGAGAGGGTTGTCTGCACGATAAATAGGGTCGTTTGGCAGATAAGAACTCGAATAGTCGTTTCTCATGCTCAGGTTGTATTCAGCGGTTGGACAAGCTGGGAATGGAACATTCGGTAAAGATGCCCGAGGAGAGCTCCTCGTGAATGCAAACATTTCCCGCTCCTGCTGGACCTGTTGATCGTCATAGAGGGAGGAATCTACACCTGAAACGGGTGCCGAGGTAAAAGGAACGTCGCTACTCGGGGGATCCCTAGTACTGTTTACCGATGCTGAGTAGCCGTTTACCATGCCCAAGCTGAGCTCGGCAGCGGGTGGATCGGCAGGGTGTACAGGTGAATATGTATAGGGTAAGCCCATGTTGGTTCCAAAGACTGTTTGTTCTTGCTGAACTTGTCCCTCGCTGTCTATGGAAAAATATGTTCCCGAAAAGAGCGCCGAAGTGCCACTGGAATAAATGTCTTGGGTAGCTGCAGAGCTGACCATTACTGCTGGGCTCGTAGCACTCAAAGAGTAGTGGTGATTGGTACGAGGAGCGGAAGTAGGAGCAGTCAAATGTGGTGAGTGGTTCCAATACCCGTCCACCGGAAGTTTGTTAAATGTGGCTGAAATAGGAGAAGGCTTGAATCGTTGGTTATCGTACGAATTGTATGATGGGTATGATCCACTTTCGCTTGAGCTACCAGACGGTGTCTGGCGCGACGAGGGATTCCCCTGAGTATCTGCAAAGGAGTATGTCGAAGTAGTGGGCGACACCACACTAGACCCATCGAAATTGTTTTGACGTTCGACGTCAATGCGAGGTCGTTTTCGTGCTTGAAAGTCTTGTGGAGTCAGATTTCGGCTTCGACGTTTCTTCCGGGGCGGCTCACGACCAGTAGACTTGGAGTACTTCCCGAGGCGAAGGTCTTTGTAGGCAGACTTGAGTATGTTCGTTTCCTCAGACGTGAGGGATTTAACGGCGTTGCCGTGTTCCCTGTTTGTCATTTGCTGCCCTGTTTCTTCTGTGTACGCTTTTGAAAGCATACTGCGAAGCATCAACAGGTAGTTTGGCTGTTTGGACTTACCATCTTCGGCTTTAACATCGCCGTCATTGGTTTGATTTTGGGAGGTGATGCAGGCAATGACATTTTCAACGCTGGAGAGGATTTCACGGCGGAATTTCTCGAAGAAGGGGAAGCTGCTTTCAACGTTCCCACTAGAAAATTCAGGTTGACAATGATTCACGAGGGACAGAAACCACATACTTTCTTTTCGCTGAACTATTGGTGAGTCTTTCCATACGTGTAGTGTGAACTCGATATTCTGAACCTGGAAGTAAATGAAGTAGATGGCGAAACACGACTATGCAATGTCGGTGAACTGGAGAAGATTAAATACCTGTGGCGGCGACTCCAGGGAAGTCGGAACGAATAATGCAGAAGTAAAGCAAAAGTGCAGAGACAGCGTGCTAAGTTCAGGTTGGACCCATAATCGCAATGCCTCGTTCTGATAAAAACGCGTAATCATGAAATTATTGGACTTGCTTCAAGATGTGTCGGCGGAGTGGAGTCAGATAGGATAACCCCATATTTGGAAACATGGGTCGGCCATAGAAATTGCGATGAAGAAATCAGACCCCTTTCGACTGGTCGGAAATATTGCCAGAGAGGATGAAAAAGTACTTACTTTATAACATCTAATAACATTCGCAATAAGAATTTCTCATAGAAATTGACCATTTCAGTTAGAAGCTTTCAGTAAGCTGTCAAAGACAAGGAATCCGGCGACGACGGGTCGTTCTGTACAGGTTTTACAGTTACTGTAATTGCCAATCACTGTTGTAGAATGAGTATAACTCACATCGAGTTTTTTCAAGGTGGCAAGGAATGATATGACTGCACCTTGATTTTTTATTTAACAATAGAGTTCAAGGCGAGATTTTACGAAATGGGTTGAAATACCTAAGCCTGTCTATGCGCACTCCTTCTCCCATCATCCTAACGTCAATCAAGTTCGTGTTTTGCATGTCCTTGTTTCATGATGCTTCATTCAAAACACATTCAAACACTGAAGACTGAAGGAACCTAGTTGGGGGTGGGAGTAAAATCTAGGTCCGAGGATGTTGAATGTTGAACACTCATCACCTGTAGCCACCTGTGTGAAGCCGGATAGGCATAAGGACAATGAACGATAGTCTTAATACAAAATGAATTACATACAGGTTATATACACACTCGATACGTTTCTAGTCATTCCGCTACTTAGGCCCGAGAGGGAACGTCGCACACAGCTATATCGTTCCCTGATGTTGAGCTCCTTCATTGACCCTTTCATTGACCAGAATGCTAGTATCCTGCGAAGTACTCCTGCCTTCAGAGAAAGTCGTTGCGGACACTGACAAGTGAGCCGGCTCCAGTTCTGGCGCGACAGCTGCGGTAGAAGAGTTTGGCTGAGTTAAAGGAACAGCAGGTCCACCCGAACTCAAGTCATGAATAGCTTTATCGGTAGGAGAGTATGCTTCCTTTGGAGGCTTTCCTGGTTCCTCGGTGTTATTATCCCCTTCCAGATCAAACACTTTTTGAATTTGTTCTGCCAATTTTACGACCTCCTCCTCTAGGTCGTTATCTCTTTTGGCCGCCGTTCTTGATCCCGAAGGCGTAGCATCAGAAGAGAGGATCGTGGCCGAGGTGCCATCGGTGCTGTAGGCCGTCTCCGCCCAAAGGCTCATCAATTCCTTTTCCCATCCAAGTTCCTTGCAAAGCTCTCTGACTATCTCGTCACATTTTCCTAGCAATATCACATCGTCAGCGCGAGACCCGAAATCCCCTACCCGGTCGATGTTAATCAGCACACGATGGCAGGAGTCTGGACAGATCTTGGCTAGGGAGGCAAATGGATGGACGGTGAGGGAGGTGCCAATAACGATGAGCAGGTCAGCGGAACGGATGATGGATGGAGCTCGGGAGAACGACTCAGGGAGCTGTGCGTCCAATGAGTGGTGAATATCTCAGGTGTTATATTGACTGGGCTCACGGATTCTCCGAAGAAAACGATATCAGGCTTAACGAGCCCTTTGCATCCCTTCTTCTCACACCTCGGAACGGCTTTCCTCTCTGCAAAATTCACGACCATATCTTTGATCTTCTCATCGTCGAATGGTGTTTTACATTTGATACATCGTTGAGTAGCGAAGCTTCCATGAGCTTCGACAATCTTGTCAGAAGGCACTCCGGCGCGCCGTTCCAGAGTATCGATATTTTGTGTGAAACACATGCTCAGAAGAGAATGTTCCGATAGGAGACGGATGAAGGCGTGAGTTAGTGTTGGACGAAATTTTCCTGGGTAAAGCTCGTGTGCGAGGGTATAGACTGGCGAGGCAGTCCAAATTAACATACTGTTTGGATTAACGTTATCATGCAAGCCTATATGGCACTTACAAGGCACAGGGTTCTTCCGAAAGAAATTGATTTCGAAAACAGCTTCAGGATACGGGAGGTCCAATCTTGCGAGATTAGCCTACAGCAAGTCCGTATGAGTTGCGAGTTCGATTTCCAGCAGGCAGCAAAATCCCCCTACGTATAAGCCTGTGGGGGATGAGAGTTGGTAAATAGTGAGGTTTCATCATTAATGTTCCAAACAACTTTACCTGTCCCTGGAGATCTAAAGTCGGGAATACCGGCGGCAGTGCTTATCCCTTCCAGAGATACATCTCCAGTTAATGTTGGAAGCTTTAGTACAGAATATGGACTTTTACCTGCACCGAGCTAAACTCAACCCAAATCTATCACTGCAATTTTGATTATGGCTAGGCAAGCTCAGGCGTACCATAAGGGCAATATTCTTACATTCATCGCTCTTGATGTAATTCGCAATTCCCTTGAAATCGTTGTATTCGAGTATTCGAGGAGCCATGATGGTCGTCGGGACTCGGGAAATGTGATATCTAGGCGCCGAAAACACGAGCGCTTCGATGGTTAGGTGTAATGTCTGTGTCTCTTCTTCTTCGTCTTCGTTATCGTTATCCTCGCGATGGGTAGAGAGCAGGTTGGGGGATTACTTCAAGAGAATGGGCCCAACCATCACCCAACCCCAGCAATTTATCTCATTCCATTCGCCTGCACCTCATCCGCTTTCCATTCAGTTCTGTTTCATTGTCCCCTGATTTTTTGTAAACAAATTCTACCTTTCCTCTGCACTATCTACCTGTAGTGAAAGTATCTGCCTGTACCTTGCAATTGTGATTCTGCGACAATTCTAAACTTAATGATAGCTTTCCTTACTAGCCTTCGTTATTTAAGCAGGGCTAGGCGGTTACGACGGCAACGTGCCAAGACTTGAATCCGATCTACCATGGGTGACTGGGATTTTTACTGTGCTCTTTGCGCTGCTCCCTTTCATACATCCGGCGTCGAAGAGACCCTGAGGGATTTTCATGTAGACGAAAGTGATCAAAAATTCTTCGTTTGGGCTCACACGTTGCAGGTAATAGCTCACAATCCTCAGGCGAGTGGGCTTTCTTGCTGTTATATATCCGGCGATGGACGTTGCGACTACTATGGCACCGCCAGATGCAAACCAAGTGACGATCCCAACTGTCCCGCTCTCAGCGATGGCTCGGAAACTTTCGATGTTGATACATATTACAACTACGCCTCAATGCAGGAGGGTGCTATCCCAGTGCACAGGAACTGTTTGGAGATATTTAAGAAGGCCCTGGCCCATGAAAAAGGAGTATCGTCCTCGCAAATGGGTTCAGTTGACCTCGACCCAGATATCCTTTTCAGTGCGATGCGCTCTAAGCGGAAGTCAAAAGGACTTCGATGTCTTGATTTGGATTATTTTGAGCTCGATGAGGTCAAACGGGAGCAGTATTTCTATTTTGACGTTGAAACCTCGGTGAGCACCATTTTATGTACATTTCCCAGTACGTTGATCTCATTCCTTTCTTTACAGCCCTTCCTTTTTGATCCCCTGCATATAAAAGCTTTAGAGGATTATATTAATGTTATGCCTCTTTCAAGTCCTTCACTAGGCACCGATTCTGCACCTTTTCATTATCCCTCATCCCGCGACCCATTCATTAACTTGCCCCCCGAAATCCTGACGGAAATTCTTCTCACTCTGTCGGAAGATTCATTCACTGCGCTCATCGCTGCTTCCCCTGCTACTTGCCAAGTTCGGCTCATGCCATCTTTCTGGAGGAAACGTGTCGAGATACACATGTCATGGTCATGGGAAATCATTGCTCACATCGCTTTGAGTGAACAATTATACAACTGGGAAAAAATCTACAGCGATCTTGAGAGATTCTCGAAATTAGACAAAACGAGCGGAAAAGATTTTCTTGGGGTCGCCAACCGTCGTCGCATTTACAACGTATGTCGGCAACTTACACCCAGCTACGTTCAGTTGGAGAACGAAGCTCGGGTGGCTTCTCCCACAGGTGATTCCGAGGAGATGCTACGAACCGCCAAGTGTCAGCACTTTGTCAGCGTGTCGATGCCTCTCGTATCTGCCTTCAACTCGACCAACACATTCGTGCTTCACCGGTGGTCTGATATTGCTCACGAAGAAAAAGTGCTGAACATATCTTGGAACAGCTCAGGTGCCCTCGCTGGCATAGCCTTGACAATTCGTGGTGTCCGGTCTGTGGTCGAAGGTAGTGAGATAGGTGCTGGTGCCGTCGAGAGCCTGAGAACTAACACACTAGTCATACAGGAAGGAGACTGGATCGATGGATTCTTGTTCTTCATGTCAGCGCCGGAGCCCAAAATTATCGGTGTGACTGTCAGAACGTTGCGTTCTCCTGGCACAACCTTTGGTTCAACGAATGGGGCGGGTCTACGATTGATGTCTGTAGACAACGGGAACGTGTTCGTGGGGCTCAAGGCCGCTGTTACAACAGACTCTATCTCAAAACTAGGAATTTTGGAATGTCCTCTCCCATCCAGCGTTGATCTTCCTCCGTCGCCTCCAAAAGTAGATGCAGCCACCAGAAAGATGATTTGGAAGAATCAGGTAAGTAGTTTCTACCGGTGGCTAGGGCGTTTATCAAGGACCTGATATCATTCCAATTTTTTTTTCTCAGCTTCCTCCTTCAAGCGTTCGGGCCCTCCCTTTCCATATCGGATACAACAACTGTGGAGACGAAGCCACCGAAAGCGGTCAAATCATGGAATTTCTGATTTTCGGTGAATCTGAAGCAAAGCTGCGCACGTTAACTGGAATTGCCGTGTCGGCAGATTTTTTGGGGTTCTTCGCATTCCACAACGATGCAGAGCCTTCATTTATCGGTTTATCGAAGAAGAATCTCAAGCATTTCTCGATTGACGGACCAGGAGGGGAACGGGTGGTCAAGTTAAGCTTAGGTGTTGGTTCAACTCCTGTGGGACTCAAGGTTAGTTCGTTGTATTTGAATATATCATGTTTCAATAGTGCTCATGAATGCTCTTGCTCCGGTAGGTTTTGACAAACCGAGGTCGTCAGGGTATATTCGGGATGCTGCGTGAGAGTAACTGCTTGATCCACGATTACGCTGCTAGTGAAACAACAACTTCTAATGCTAATGAAACAATAGCTGGAGTATATGGTTCTTTTGAAATCATCGTACGTGGAAATTTACCTAGGTTTTACTATCTCTAACAAGTACTATTCACAGAGAGAATATTCACGATTTACCGCTTTCGGTGTTCTCCGCGCCCCGTCTACGTCATCTGAGCCTCTACCCTCTTCCATTACTATATCGCCTGGCGCCTGGGACCCAACTCCCCCTCCACCCCATTGGCACGCCGAAGGACCTGTTTATGGAAGCAGCGAGCACTACGCTCTTACATATCTCGATCTGACGAAACCCATCTCGAAGATATCTGGTCTACTCGCTGCTCCCGAGTGGTACGATATCGTCGAACTCGGCGGCTTCGTTGTCACTTATGTGGACGGATCAACCTGCTACGTCGGTATGCCCACTGATCAGTGGAGGGAAGTCAAGGACGCCGAATCTGCTCCAGTGGTTGTCAAACGACACGAAGGCATGTCGCATGGAGTTGGTAAAGCCGACGAAGGTGTGGTTGCTCATGTCACTACCGCGGAAGCTCGGCTGCAGAACCATGACACCGGTGCCGGTGCATGTTGGGACCTTGGGATAGACGGGGGTCATATTTGTGAGGTCACGGTGTGGGCCGGAAAGTACCTCAATGGTGTTCAGTTTCATACTGATGATGGGAGGGCGAGTCCGAGATGGGGGAAATGTGGTCAACTCGCGACTGCGGTAATTACCACGAAGCCAGATAATGCGGTACACACCGGAGCGGTTGCGGTGAAATTTTACCTGGACTCGGATAGGGATCATTACAATGCTTCTGATGCACGACCACTAGGGTTACAAGCTTTGGTAGCCACTTGATAACTTTTAGTCATTACTCTCGTGACACTACTGGAAACAAACAATTATGATTCTAGAAAGAATAGATATTCAAGATAGGGGGTGACTATTACTTAGAGGATAGAATATGCCCGTTGACAAGTTGGCACCTGAGGAAACCATCTTTGACTAGTTAACACTTGTTGGCATGGTCGTAGTGGCGAAGGTGATTTAATAGGTGCGAGCAAGGACCTGAAAACACTTGAGTTCAGTTAGTATAAACCTAGAACAGAAGTGAGGAAAAGTTGTAAAATTGGTGGAACAAAACATGCCAAAGTATGAAGATCCATTTGAGTCATAGTGCATGGTCAACAGCAGCAGGTGAACTTCAAAATGAATGATGGACATTCTTCTTCGATGTTATACAAAAGTTCAAGGTCACCGTACAAGGTGACAAGGACATTGCATATTGAAGAATGGATACTGGAATTCAATGATTGAGATGTAAGTAATGAACTACTCTTGGATACAGTGGTGAAATTTGTCAGCCCAGTCCAATTCTTGAAGTGAAGCTAGTGACTTCTGAATTTACAAACTATAATTTTATTGGATTATGAATTGATCAGAGAAGAAGTGGATGAAGTAAACTTGCAGGTAAATGTGTGTACAAGTAACAAGGAGACACTCTGTATGATGTTGGCAGTGATCAACAACATTCAGGAGTTGAAGGTAAATATTTGTGACAATGCGAACAAACTAGTAAGGAAGAAAAAATATGGTATTGCCAGTGGGAAAACTAATGAGTTAACAATTGTTGCCAACATGTTAGATTTCAACCCACCCATAGGATGATTATGGATAACTGCCAATGACCCCTTTTTAACCAACATAATTGACAATCATTCGAGGATTTCCAAGAAGTTGTGTTTTGTCATGAAGTACGCAGCCCCTATTATTTTCCTTTTCTCACTGTCTCAATGCCTTTACTTGTACGGTACATCATCCCATCACTATCACATTCCATTGCTGTCAATCCCCCATTGATTACTGATCCACCTGACCCACCTTCTCCTTCTATTGGCTTCTGCCACCTTCCTTGCCCCTGAACTGTACAGTATTGCATTGTTGTTTCTCACAGACTGGATTATGCATATATAGCCAATTCCCCACAGCCTGGTCCCTTATCCTGACCTCTCTGTCATTATCTTGGGGGACTGTATGTGCTTACTTATTATTACCTATGACTATGATACTCAATATATCTGTTAAGATCATGTACACTGTGAAGCCATGCCAGAGGCCACAAGGTGTCTAAGGGCAGAGGATCAAATGGGACAGTAGTGAAGTTATTAACAACACTGCCGTTACACTGCTAGTCCCTGGAGATTGAGAGTAGAGAAGGGGAGAGCCAGAAGCAGCCAAGTCGGAGTGGCAGTATTGCCGACGACAAGGAGCAAACCAAAGGACATCGAAGTCCTGAGGTTAGAGTAAGGAGAACTTTGAGGCGACAGGCCTGAATACTTTAAAGGACGAGAGACGAAGATCTAAGGTGATCTCAGTTGATAATTAAACTGAGAGACTACAGTAGAGTACAGGCAGTATTTATATCTATGGATCAGCGCATCGGAGCGGAGCACCAGACTCACTAGTAGGAGCTATACATGTAGTACCTCCAGGGTAGAGAATAAGACAATAAGAGGGAGGATAAAACAATAAAGAAGAGACTAGGTAGAAAGGGAATGTGTAGTGAGAAGAACAATAAGGATGAGATTACAATAAATGGTTGATCTTGGAATACCGAGCGGCAGAGTGGGGCACCAAGGCATGGACTTGACAGTATCCCCCTCTTAGGCTTGAGCCCTTGAAAGCTGACATCACCAAAGATTGATCCCATCAACCAAATATTAGTTTGTCGGAAATTAAAACTCAAATTTACCTGCGGGCCGCTGGTTTAATCAAATAAACCTATTATCTGGTTTTTGAAGGGTATAAAAAGGCCCAGGGTTTTCTGCTGAGGACCCAACTTTTCCCTCAAAAACTTCTAAGTCCAACAAAATGATGACAAGCCGCACCACTACCACTACCACCAATCCTACTGCAAACACCTCCTCCTGCCCTGCCGACCCTCCGAGCCCCAGTGCTACCGTCAATGACAAGGTGGAACAGATCATGAGAGAGGCACAGGAAAGAGTGGAGAGGGTGAAGGCAAGGAAGGCAGAGGAAGCTGCTAAGAAGAAAGCAGAAGAGGAGGCAGCTGCCAAAAAGGCGGCAGAGGAAGAAGAGTGGAAGAAGCAGGCAGCGTCAGGCAGTGCAGTAGGCATGGGACTGGGCCAACTGGACTCGACAGCAGGAGGAGGAGTTAGTAGAGAGGAGGCAGAGGTTGGCAGAAGCAGCTACTTCCAGAAGTCAAAGGGGAACCTCCCCTGGTGAAGTTTCTGCTTCTCCGAGGAGGCCAGTAGTGGAGATTTCAAAGGTGAAGAGCAAAGGGAAGGGTAAGGCCAAGGCCCAGGTATGCCTTTCTTTATCTAGCATTAAGTTTCTTGCTGACTTGTTTCTCTCCAGCCTGTTGGTAAAGACCCCAATGATGGCGACAATGGTGACAACGACAAAGACTGAGAACCTTGCGAACAATGCAAGGTGAAGAAAATCCCTTGCCTGAAGCAGGCTGGCAAGCAGAGTAGTGCAATATGCAAGCCCTGCCATGACTCAAAGGTACGATGTTCATACTCGGGTCGTTCATACACAGTGAAGAGGGAAGGAGGTGCAAGTCCAAGTGGCAAGTGGCCATGCTTGAAAGTCAGATGGCGCAAATCCTCGCTGATAACTGGGCCTTGAGGGAGTCAGCCTCAAGGTCTCATCAGTATCTTTGACAACTCCTACACAGACAAGACGAGGACCACTCCCAGCTGATAGCCATTGAAACAAGGCTGGCCTCAACAGGTGCAGGAGCGGCAACACTGGGACCTTTGAGGATTGTGTCAGAGAAGCTGAGGAACTTGAAGAGGAGAAGAATCATAGAACATAGTATTGAAGAGGAGGAAGAAGAAGTGGAGAAGGAGGGAGAAGGGGCAGAAGTGGAGGAGGAGGAAGAGGACAAGGCACTGGTGCTGAAGAAGGTGAAGACAGCAGCCTCAGAGAAGGGGAAGGGGAAGGAAGTGTAGTGTATCAGACATCGGATATGATGTCAGCCCTCTGGGCTTCTTTTTGTATCCCTCTTCTTTCTTGCTTTGCTGTTGCCTCTATTTTTTTGATTTTGTATATAAAATAATGTCAACAAGTTTTGGAACTAGAAATGATCAGGCCGTGGAGTGGCGAAATGAATAATTAGTTAAAAGTATAATTGGTTTAAATGTTAGTGAAAGACAAAGTGAATGAAACCAGTAGTCAATGATGAAGGGGAAAGTAAACACTCAATTTGCTATCATTGTGTTTACCCTCTCAATGCAGCAAAGTAAACTTCGGCAGAGAATGGAATTTTGGGGAAAGGAATAAAATGTTTCCAGGCTTATGAGGGTATTGAGCATGGAAAGTGGGTACCAGTTCATCAGCATGTAATTCATCAGCAGCAACCCAGGAGAATTCATCATCGGTACCTTTGTAACTGACAAGACCGTGCCTACAGGTCAATAACTATAGCGGTTCTGAGGCCGGATCTGGCCCGGGAATGGCCCGGGATAATTCCGAGGTCCGGAACTGAGTATTGGCCTGTAGTACACACTGGGAGTGGGACGTCGGTGAAGCTATTAGCAACACCCTTCACACACTGTTGTGTCCCCGGGAATATAATGGCAAGGATATAGTGTCAAGATGAGTAGCCTAGATGGTGTTCCTCTGATCCGGGAGTCCGGAGCAGCTCGGAAGCAAAGGTAAAAGAGATATTAAAGAGTGGGATAAGGTGGTACACTTGATTTCAAGCTTGACTACAACGTACAAAGTATTCTAGCTTATATACATCCCAAATACAGTAGTCATAAGACCTCGATGAAAGCTCGGAATAATAAATAAGTCACAAGGTAATTACTCCGAAGTCCGGCCGCTCCGGGCCGGGCCGGGAAGCGTATGGGTGAATTGCATGCATATGACAGTAACCAGCCCACCGAATGTAATAACATAGAGGACAACACTTATACCTTTGATCCAGCTTGGAGTCCAGGATTTCAGCAACGTTGTACTCCTCTTCACCATCAACTTCAATTGGAGGTGGAGAAGATTGAGTTTGATTCAGGAATGGGTTCGGCGTAACTGGCTCCAGCTGTGAGACATGGAAAACTGGGTGAATCCAGTGAAGATAATCCAGAAGCTTGAGCTCATAAGATAGAGTACCAGGTCGACTAATGACCTTGAAAGGACCAAGATATTTTTCAGAGAATTTTTCAGTAGGACAAGTAGATCAAATATGCTTAGCCAGAACAAATACTTTGGAGCCAATTGGAAACTCTGGGTGTGAGATTCTTTTCCTGTCAGCTTGTTCCTTGTAATGTGATTGAGCTAGAAGGATTTCCTCTCAAAGGAAGACGCGGAGTTCATTGAGGTTTACAATAAAGTCCCTGGCTAGGTCAGACTTCATGTCGACCTCAGGCCGAACAGTGATATTTGGGTGGTATCCTTTGTTAGCAAAGAATGGAGTAATACCAGTGGAAGCATTGGGAGCATTATTATAGGCAAACTTAGTGATCGGAAGTAAGTGCAACCAGTCATCTTGTTGGTAGGAACAGTAGATCCTGATGTACTGTTCAAGAGTTTGGTTGACATGCTCAGTCTGCCCATTGGCTTCCAGATGATATCCAGAGGTATAGTGAAGTTCCATGGAGAGCGCTTTACTGAGAGCCTGGAAAAATGCCAAAACGAATTCGGAACCACGATCAGAAGTGACACAATTAGGAACACCATATTTAGAAAAGACGTGAATAACAAAAAGCTCAGCTAGTTGTTCAGAAGTGATAGTATTGAAAGTTGGAATGAAGATAGCTTGCTTGGATGATTGATCCATGACGACGAGGATAGCCATGTAGCCATTCAACATTGGGAGTTGCTCAATGAAGTCCATGGATATCAAATCCCATGGCCGGACCGGAACTGGCAAAGGTTTCAACAAGCCATAGGGTTGGTGGCACCGAGGCTTATTGCAACCACAAATGGTGCAGGAGGTAACATAGTTACAAACAAAGTCTCTGACCTTGGGCCAGGTGTATTGACAACGTACTGCCTCTAGAGTTTGGTTCTGGCCAAAATGGCCTGAGAGTGGA